GAGCAATAGATGAAAATGTTTATATTACACCACTGGTCTTTGGATTTTTGGAGAGGACATGGTAGGGTTAAGTTTAAGAAAATCCTTGTCATTCTTGTAAATACAGATCATTCAAAACTATTTCTATTCAACAAATTGGGCAGCATTTTCTTCTCCTGTTGAAATTTGTAGTGGCTTCATGGGTGGCTGCAAATGCTTTATTTGCACTGCTTACCCTGACATGAAGCAACCCTGGTATTTCATTTTCATCTTTTCCAGTTTGTAGCGCTAGGATTGATTTTGCTACAAGCACAAAATTTTTCTCTGCCCTTTGTTTTACAAGGTCCTTCTGTCTGGCAGCATGCATTCTTCTTGAGATTTTTCATATTTTGTTTGTATTACTTATTACATTTTGTGCATGCTTGCTGTACTTTTCCTGTCCCCATCATATAACATTAGACTGGACATTCAATATTCCTAAAGGAAAGGATTTTTTCCCACCAGCTCTCTTTTGTTTAAAACGTGCCTTTCCCTGCTTCTCTTGTTGGGGGAGAAAAATACCCCAAACAACATCAGATCTTCTCATTTGGAGAAATGCAACAGTGTAGATTCTCACCCGATGTTCTTCTGGGGAGAAGCTGCAGACACGTATGTGCAGATATGTGGGCTGTGGGGGCACATCTGCAGCCAGAGCCAAGATATGCCACCAGGTAAGGGCAGAGTTGTGCACAAGCTTGTAATAGGCACCCAGGTAATTGCACTTCAGAGTATCCCCAGGGTTTCCTTATTTTGTTTGTCCTCCCAGCTTTGCCTGTTGAGCAATGGGATTTACATTGTATAGCAGCTATTGAGTAAGAGCTAGGGATAGGTTTATGATTTTTTTTTTTAATGTTGACAATACTTCTTGTTTTTTCTTCTTCTCATAACAGTGCTGTCAATGCTTCCAACATTGAGGGATGCCTTAATGCATCAATTAAATTCTGAGAGTCTCACATCTCTTCTTAAAAATAGGTAAGACTGTTTTGTTGATTTTGTTAAAGATAACTTGTTTTGATCACAAGATAATTTTTTTCCAAATTATATATTTATAGATAGGATTTTGGTTCTGGGTTCTATTGAGTCACAGTTGTTAAGTATTTTGAAATCACCACATAAATATTTTGTCCTGTTAGATGCATTTAAATAGGTATGGCTGGAGTTTTCCAAAATTACAAGAAGTAACAGGTCCTTCAAGATGCTGCAATGAGAGCCAAGGTTTTTGTTGAATTGCTTATAAGATAAGCTGATAAAGCACTTACAGGGGCTAGTCCTCTCTTAGACAGGACGGAGTATCTTGACCGAGTTGTTGATGTTGTGTTTGTAAAAATATTTATGTAATCTTATCAAGGTCAGACTTGAATACTAGTGGAAAGTATCCAAGATGAGACTGCAAATGGATGTAAGCTATGAGAAGTAATTTCTTTTTCTTCTTGGTTTCCTTACAACTGCAGGAAGAAATCTCATATATAAGTTGCATAATAGCATACCTTAAAACTAGAGTAAACTGCTTGATATTTGGCACTGAGTAAAAGTGTTAGGTAGGCAGTTAACACATGGTTTCTGACTCACTCTAGACTGCCTTTCTCGTTTACCTCCCACTAGCTTATTATATATAGCTGTAACTTCAGCTGCCCAGCATTTAATGGATTACCTATCCAGTCATTGTCTTTTTTCAGTCAAAAACTCCCACAGCAAGGCAACAGAACATTGATATTTAAAGTAGGAATTACAGCCCGAACGATGTTTTTATAACAGATGATACGAGAATTTGCAAATCTAGTTGAATGTTGTTTGTCCCAAACAATAACAGATTAGATAAAAATAATTTTAATTAATATTTAGTATATTTGTAATAATAAGAGTTTTACTGAATGAAAAAATTAACCTGAATGAACAGGAGATATTGTGGATCACCAGATTTGTCTTCTGGACTGTACAGCAAAATAGTCTGCAGAGATCTGCAATCCTGTGTTTGATGGTGAAGACATATAATGCCTTAGATTGTCCTCTGTAGCATGTGTTCTTTTATCAAAATATATCTGGTATCTCTCATTTGTTTTGACTAGTTGAAACAGTTTATGGGTATGGTGACACACTTCTGAATTCCACTAATACCCATGAAAATAGAGGTGAGACTTTTGGATGTTATTGCTATGCATAGCTGAAAAAAAAAATATTAAAGTGCTGGTTATATGCAATATCCTGTAAGCTCAGCTGTCCATTTTGAGTGTATCTTACAGTGGAGTTTGTGTTTTAATGTTTCCCTTTTTTGCTTACACTGAAGACGTTTTAACTAGATGCTTGCAACTTTTTGAACTGAGAAGGTAGAAAAGGGCTTGGGAGGGCACAGATCATGGAATGAGCCATCAGGCCTCATTCCACTTTGAAGTGGGTCCGTGAAGAAGCTCTGCATTCTTGTGCTATACAGGGAGGTACAGATTAGTTTTCTTTCTACTTTGATTTGAGAATATGAGTCAAATGGCTCTGGACCTTTCAGTGCCATTGTTGTAGTACATAGAAAAGAGGACGTGGAGATTTACCTTTGTTCATGCCCCGGAAGATGTGTTCTTTTTCGGTGTTACTGATCATGTTATGACTTGGGTAAAGTCCTTTAACTTAAAATCTATTCAAGTCCTTAAATTCAAAACCTTTTTACATTGTTTTAGTAATTTGGGACAGCAAGTGGTAGCTTGGGGGTATAAGTGGACTGAAGTCTTCAGTCTTCCCTCTTCCTTTAAAGAGGGAGCAGCAAGACTGCAGATGTGTCTGTTGTTCACTTCTCAAAGCAATGTGATTGAATGAGATAAGGTGAAGTACCTGCTGCTGTAGCCTTGCAGATGTTGCATATCTCTCACCTATTCAACACTTAGCTTCATTCCAAACCTCTGGGTTTTTTGTGTGCATTGCTTTTTGCTTACATAGTGGGTAATGGTTTTCCAAATAAATCAATTTGAAATGAATGTTGAGTTTTGAGCAGCTGAGTCATAGTAAATTGCAGCAGACAAAGACTGAAAAATCCACTTCCACTGTTAGGCTTAATACTTGCAGACTTACACTGTTACCTGGCTTCTGCCTGAAGCTTCGTAAGGATGAGCTCTAGAATATATTTTTCATAGCAGATCCAAATCTAATTGGCTGACAATGGCGTATCTTTCATTCATCATTTGGCATGGGAAGCTTACCACTCCTAAGTAACAAATGTCATTTTAAGTCCTGTGATGTGTTTTATCTATATAAATATTACTGTATTTTTTAAGTCTTTCCTTTGCTTTGCTTTAGAATAGTTTTTAAAGCTGTTGATTTAGCTTGCAAAAAGGGAAGTATGTAAACTGTTTTTGCATGTGCCATGGATCCTTGTATCTTTTCCAGCTATACTTTCTTTAATATGTCTCTTTACTTTTTGGAGTTGTAGACTTAGTACTTTATTGTATCAGTTCATTTGCATTATTTCATAGCAGTGAGCTTAGAAATTGTGTCTGTGATACAATGGTCAAACTAATGCCAAAGTGCATATGTTGTGCCTATAAAGAGAAATTATTTCTGTTGAAAACTGTTTTGTTTGTTTTTTTATAAACTAGGTTATTGTAAAGTCTATATTAACCTGAACTATCTGTGCTAAATATTTGCGTTGATTCTGATCCTAAGAAGTGACCAAGTGTTTCTCTAAGTGACTATCACAAACCATGTGTTCCACAATAGATTGACAGTAGTCATGCTTTACTGGCAGCACTTAGCAGGCAAGATGGCTGAAGAAACATTTTTTGACTGTTTGCTTGCTCTTACCTCTACTTGTGCTGCTGTATTACTAACAGTACCTCTGGATAGTAGTCGTAAATTTGCAATGTACCTTAGGCAGTTCAGGTTTATCTATGCAATTTACAGTCTTGCTCTCTTGGCTGCAGAATACATAACATTTTAGGAATTGGCCACATCAAAAAAAAGTAAATGTAACTCAAGAAAAGAAGAAAGACCAATTTGTGGTTGTGTGGATGGCACAAGATTTCTTTTCTACAGATGGTCCTGATCTCTTCAGGTTTTGGTGATTAAATCCAAACTTTAAAACCAGGCAATGGTAAATCTTACAAAAAAGTAGGATATAGAAATTCCAATCCTGCACTTACTATGCACAGGTGTAGACAGGGGTGTACTGAACTGAGGTCTGCATTAAATATGTAGAGGATCAAGACCCCAGAAAGGTCACTTTGTATCATCAGTGGGCTCTTTGTGACTGCTTAGTGTAGTAATTCAAAATTGGTAAGAAGTGTATAACCTACATCACTGAATATTACTTTTATACATTAAAGTTTTAGTATATTTTCTGTGACTTCATAGTGTATTGTTTCTGTACTGCTTTCTTGAATGAGGCAAATCAATATGGACTTGAATTTTATCTGAATAATTATAGTAGCTAAATGAGCTCACCTTAGAGCACTAATATTTAATTGAACATATTCATTTCCAAGGAAAATATACTTTTTAATGTTTAATATTTCCATTTATGTTTCCTACAGGCCAGCAAACAAATTAGAAATATGGGAGGATTTAAAGATAATAAGTAAGTGGAAATGAAAGATTCTGTCTGCATAATATTTAGCATAAAATCTAAAGTGTCTTTCACACCCTTTAAAATGCACAGTTTACACAGGGTTGTTGTTTCAGTAGATGTGAAGACAGTGTAATACAGCATGTGGCAAACCTGCCTGCCCCTCCTGGCTAAAGCTCCTTATGAAGGGATTTTTCATAACCCTGTGGGAAGTTAGAAGCTCAGAGACAAAGATTTGTGTTGGTCCTGATGTTACTCTGCTCAAAACTTTGTGAGAGCATTCTGTTCCATCTCACTGTTGTGAGAACTTTGTGTGCCATCACAGAAAAATCAAACTATTTTTTTAGAAAATTCTATGCTGATCCTAGCAGAAAACACCAGTCAGAATGATAGGCCAGAAATTTCCTCTTCTCACACCCGTTTGAGAGCAACACCATAGCAGAAGTTATGAACCCCTTGGTTCGTCTTGTTATTTATTGGCTGATGGAAGCAGTGGAAGGGAAGGAAGAAGAGTGAGGTCAGAGAATTATGTAGTGAATAGTACTGAGCTTTTTTTACTACCTTTTCACACCTGTATAAGATCCTACTTCTGATCCAGCTCCTTTCTTCGTGTGTTCTTGCTACTCAGCATTTGTCCGTATTTATTCACATCACTTTTCCACATCTCCTCAGTTGCTTAGTGGCTGGTAGCTGATGCACATTTTAAATTTTTTTTCTTTATATATTAGCTGCTCCTGCCATAGGTAACTTTTTCCCCAAGCTGCTGTTATGCATTCTGTGTCTTAACTGCATGAGGAGGGCTAACATACTGTGTGTATTTCCTGGCCTAGTGAAGGAAGATGATTTGACAGTACATCCACTTTCCCTCTGGAGCAACCTGCATAATTCTTGTTTCCAAAATAACTTGTGTAACATGCAAAATTAATGGGACACTTTAGATGCAGCTCCAGCACGTTAGAGCCGTGACCATCCTGGTTATGTGTTATGAAAACGTGTGTTATGACAACTCGTGAGAGAAATGTGACTGTGTATTTAAAAATCGACCCTTTTTGAGTCTGGGAGAGCACTCTCCCTCCTTGACTCATCCTTATGTCTTTGACTTTGACCTTATTTTGTTGTCTCTTCCAGGTTTCACAAGAAGCATTGTAGCTGTATATAGCACCTGTATGCTAGTAGTTCTTTTGCGAGTCCAGTTAAATATTATTGGCGGTTACATCTACCTAGATAATGCTGCACTCTGCAAAAATGGCACAGTAAGTTTCCTGTTCTGTTTCAAAGGTAGAACTTCCTCTTTCTTGGAAGTGAAAGGATTACCTAGTGCAAAGTAAGAAGGGGATGGCTTAGCAGGGTTAGAATGAAAATAAGAATTCTTATAAGGGAGTGGGAGATGTGGAAGCAAGATACATTGCTGTGTTTTAACAGCCTCTGAATTTGGATGATTTGGTGATACTCTTGCTTAGCAAAATACTAGCAAGGTTGAAGAGTACCTTTTTGTCCACATTTGTATTGCTTAGTTACTTCATATCAAAACACCAACATAATTTGCTTTCATTGTAGTTTTGGAAATAGTAATAATGTGTGAATGATCCAAGATATGTATGCAAATGTTTAAAAATGCTTAGGTCTTCCTAACACATACATTAATCTCCCCATGTTAAATTTCCCTAGGATTAAAGAAGAAAATGTTGTCTTTGAAATTTTACTGTTTTGTTTAACTCCAGAAGGCCATCTACCTAAATGTCTGTAGGTGAGGACCAAGCAAGGTAGAAGACTTGGGGTTTGTTTATATAGTGTATCTATCACTGCACAATAAAAATAGATCAGTGCCACAGAAAGCAAGTACCCACTGGAGAGAGTAAGATCTTCAGATTATTGATGTCTCATTTAAAAATAATGGATACAAACTTAGATTAGTTCTCATGTGTCCTGTGATGGCTCCTGCTGAGAGTCAAGGAACAAAATGTCAAGGCAGGTCTGAGAAAAGCTTTCATTAGGGAAGCCGGGGTTGATGAAGGTCATGCTTTGTTTTGAAAAACCTGAACAAGCTTTTTCTAAAACAGCAAGCTGAGTTTGCACTAGAAATGTGTTTCCTCTGTTATTTTTCCAGTAGAGAAGTGGGTTGTCAGGGCCAACTCTGAGGCGTTCTGCTGGAGCAAATTGGAATCATGTCTCAGTTCGTGAAAGCTGCTTTTCTATCAGATAAGCTTTTGTTAGGGTTGAGCATAAATATCCTATCCCACTAAGTTAAATTTTTGAGGTGGTGGAGGGTCTAGTTTTACCTGCAATGCAGTTTTTTTAAGAGACTTCCCTATTTATGGGGGAAGAGACTTTTCTGTGCCGCTGATGATCAAAGAGCTCTGTATAGTATTGAAGAGAAGAATTCAGAGGAGTTATGGAAGATCCATGGTTTGATGACAAGAAGAGAGTCAGAAGCTACAATTTTGTGAGAATGGGGGAATCCATCTGCTGCAGGGTATTATAAAGATTAAGGAAATTGTTTGCAACAGGTTTGAAATTATTTGTGCATTGTTCTCTACTGTTGACATTTCACAGAATTGTGTATTGTTTTTCTCCACAGACACCACTAGCTCCCCCTGAAGTTCAGCAGCAATATTTATCAAGTATTCAGCACCTCTTAGGAGATGGTATGATGCTTATAAGTTAACTGCACCTACAAAAAGCTACTTTTTTCTTGAGCAAATCATTAAAATAATTTTGACACTTTTCTTGTTTTAGGACTGACTGAGTTAATAACTATTGTCAAACAAGCTGTGCATAAAGTTTTTGGAAGGTAAGAGTCTGTATGTCTTTGTGATTAGCTTTGAATGTGTATTGTGATGACTGTTGCCAAGACAGCACCAAGCCTGCCTGAGTTCAGGAAGTGTTTGGATGATGCTCTCAGACACATAGTGTGATTCTTGCACAGGGACAGGAGTTGGACTGGATCCTGATGGGTCCCTTCCAACTCAGCATATTCTATATCCTATAATTCTATGACTTTTTCCAAAATAATGCTTTTATTATAGCAGACTGCATCTGCCAGTGCTAACCCATACAGCAGATTGAGATCCTGTTGCTTGTGAAAATGTTGTTTGTAGGAGAACAAAGCATCATTATTCATTTTGCAATCAACACTGTAGCCTTTTTTTCCTTTCCAGTATTTCCCTTAAGCACACCTTATCTCTTTTGGAGCTGGAACAGAAACTTAAAGATATCAGGAAAGTGGTGGAACAGAAAGATTCAGATCATATTGCATCTTACTCTCCCTTATGCCATTATCTGATGCCAGATGAAGAAAACCCCTTGGCTACCCAGGTACATGTTAGTTTCTTTCATCTACCTTTTTTCATTCTAGGTGTTTTCTTTTGGGGAGCATAAGTCCTCTAGTTGTTCCATGGCATCTGCGCCTTTGTTAAATGGCAATGATTCTTCCATCATAAATCAAGTGTCCTTCTCTCTTCCATCTAGGCAAAGTTCTTTCTTCAGATTTGATTGAAAATAAGTGTAATCTTCAGAATGTCAGCTCTGAGCTCAGAAACAGCCTGATTACTCTTTTCAGCCTGTGATGTGTGCTGTAACACTACAGCTTAACTCAGCCCTAAGCTGAACTGTATGATCTTGTGCTTGTGTACTAGCAAAGATCATGGACAGATGGAGCATCTTGTCTGATGCACAAGAAGCCAATGGTGTGCTGGAGTCCTTTGTTGCTTTGGGATGGAGAATGAACAGTAGTCAAGAGAAAGGTGTATCTGATCTCAGTTGTAACGTAAAAATAATCTCCTAAATTTTCTAAAGTGTTTCCCTTCATCCACACTACAAGTTGGAGGAAGCTCATTCTTAACTTGATGATTATAGCAACATAAAGAAGAAACTTATACTTCGGTGTGTGACTATGTGCACTCATCCCTTTAACTTAAGCTGATATGCAGAGTTGATTTCAGTTTTGGAGGTTAGAAGTGGAAAAAACACATTGCTCCATTAGTCTCAATTAGTATTTCCTGCTATTATTTGTTTTAGTTTTTAAAAAAATCCTATAGTGACAGTTTAAAAGGGAAATTATAAAGCATCTGATTTACAACAATAAAACTTTTCTTTTAAACAGATTTGATTTACACATCTTGAATTAATTCCATTTTACCAAACTCTTATATTTCTACTCTTATTCTTACGGTTGCCAATGGATTTCTTACTAAATTGTCTTTGCTTTTTCTAGGCCTGTGGACTCACAGAAAGAGACATTGCTACAATTAAATTACTTAATGAAACTAGAGATATGCTAGAAAGGTATAGAGAAGTATCCTGTATTCATATTACACTTTTCCTCACAACTATTGTTTATGTAAGACAATTACTTTCCTAGAAAAAGCTGTCAACTTTCATTTGAGAAATGTGACCACTCTGCTGCACTGAGTTTTTATATTCCTTAATTGGAGGCTGGGATTTTCAAATTTAAGAGCTCCAAAGGTACTCCTTTTCTGCTAAAGCAGGGTAAATTGAGAGTTATTTTATTGGATTTACGTGCTTTGATAAAAAGAACACCAGTTTTGGCTTATCAGAAATTATTTTTAATGCATGCTTTTGAGAGTGGTTTTATCTGCATCTTTCTACTGCAAAGTAATAGAAATTGAAGCTTCTATAATAAACATTGAATATGAGGGAATTGAGCCAAATGTCAGACTATTTCTACCATTCATCTGGGGCATTTTAATGATGTGTCTTCTATGTATTACTTAGTAAGAATGCTTTAGATTTTTCTGGGGTTTAGTAATCTTATGATAGAGTGCAGGTCATTGATTTCTTTGCTGTAGAGCTCATCTGTCTTGAGGTAGCTGTGCTAATGGCCTCTTGTCTGAGTCACACATTGACCCTTATGGGAGGGACAACTATAGCACTGAATAGTTGCTGGGGTTTTTGGTTTGAAAATATAAATCTGAGGAATCAAACTTTTTTTTTTTTCTTCAGTCCAGACTTCAGCACAGTTTTGAGCACATGTTTAAATAGAGGATTCAGTCAACTGCTGGACAATATGGCAGAGTTTTTTAGACCTACTGAACAGGACCTCTCGAAGAATGGCTCTGTAAATAGGTACATGTTTTCTTTTGTTGTGGTTCTCGTGTGAATGCTTTGTGTTCATAGTGAATTCCAAAAACAGGCTAATGAATTTTCCTGCCGACTTGACATTCTTGTGCTTCTTGCTTTTGAAGAATAAATGCAGTCTCCTTATTTCAGTCAAATAGACAGCTAGGAGTATTGCATGCTTCTTCCCACCTATGAAATCACTAGAACTTAGGGGAGGCATCTTTTCCCACCATTACTTGCAGATCTAGAAGTAGAAGCCAGAAGACCTATGGCTTCCTTCTTGCCAATGCTGTGCAAGCAGCCAGCCTTTCTTGCCAAGGGGGATTTACCCACTGGGGGCAACTTGTGAAACATGTATTGAGTAGTACATCCCCCGTGAGGCTGTGAAGAGGATAGTGGTCCCCTACAGTCAGCATCCAAGCTCTGTACACCCCCCACATAGTTCTCATGGTGTTACCATGATTCTCCAGATACATGTAGCTGAAGCACCTACACAGCTTTAGGTTCTTTCCTGGCATGCTGAATAAAAGATACTAACATTCAGGACCTTCTGCTTCTTCCTTAGAAGGCTGTGTAAAGATAGCTTTTATTCTGAAGCTAACCTTGGTTTTTAACAGTGGAGTGCTACAAATCCAAAAGCTGAGTTCAGGTCCTTGAAGTTTTATTTCTAAAATATTAAAATTAAAACCTTAAATAATAACTGGGTTTATGTATGTTTATTTTAATAAGCTGTTGGCACTCAAATATTCATGTTTTTATTTCAATAGATACTATTTACATCATTTAAAATATGCCAAAGGCTGTAGTTTGGCTGTCTGTCCTAAGCCTATTTTAGAGTTTGAAATAGTGTGAGATTATAGACTGGCACTTCCAACAGCTGTTTATGTACACATATGACTCTGGTTAAACCATATTTCTCTTGCATGAGAAGCAAGTGTGAAACTGTGTGTTGCAGGAACACCAACTGGAATTTGCTTTGGTGCTTCTCTATATTAAAAGAAGGCCTTGATGGGGGGGAAAAAAAACCCCTTCATCTGTGCATTTTAGTTTGCAGTCTTTCAACTCCTAATTTTGAAGGAGTAATTACTTAGAACTGTAATAATCACAGTTCAGTGACTTTAATGTCAGAGGAGGTCTAGGTCAATATTTTTCATTTTTTCTAGTCTTTCCAGTGTCAGTCTTCCTCTAGCCAAGATAATTCCAATAATAAATGGACAAATCCATTCAGTATGCAGTGAAACACCCAGCCACTTTGTTCAGGTAAGAATCTTGCTTCTTTAAAATATCCAAGTAAAATTTTGAAGAGTGTTGTGTATTTTGTTTTAATAACACAGCTAATTCTGTTTAATTTGTATTAAAAAAAAAAAGTAGAAACAATTGGAATATGTTAAACGTTTTTGTAAATTTGTATCTTCCACAAATATGCTATTTTTCTTGAACATCTTCCTTCTGCTAAACTGTGCAGAAGCATGAAAGGGTCTCTGGACTTGGTTCTGTTTGCATTTCTGCCCATAAAGCTTTCTAAAGTGACAAATTTGAGTTACATCTGTGTGGGAGTGCCAGGTGCTTTTCTCATCATGATGTACTGCAGTAAAACCAGAATAGATGTGTTTTATTAAGCAAATGTATTCTTTAAATTTCTTTCAGGACCTGTTGATGATGGAACAAGTGAAAGATTTTGCTGCTAATGTTTATGAAGCTTTTAGTACCCCTCAGCAACTAGAGAAATGAACAGCACATTTATAGGAATAGATGGTGTATTTATAACAAACCCCTTGTGACTACTGATGAGACTTGGGTTTATTTTATAACAGTGTAGGAGTGGTAGACGAGCAGAAAGAACATTCTGAAAAAAGTGGGAGTGAGCCCATATTTGTTCTAATAGAATTCTGCTTCAAAAACCCATTAAAAATATTATTGTTGAAAGAATTGTTGTATGTAAAGACTTTTCTATTAAAAAAGTGGTTAAACTCTTCTATGATTCATTTATTGCATCTGAAAGGCATCTGGTGGCAGTATTACAAGTTACTAACAAATGCGTTTGTTTGCCTGGGGTGCCTAAGTTTTGGGGAAAAAAACTAATGATAGTGATCTAAGAATAGCACAGAGCAGCAGAAGTAATAAGGCTTCTTTCTTCTCTCAATTTCTTGTTTTTATAAAGGAAAGTTATTTTTTTCCTTACCTTTACCAATGATACTCCAAAGAGTCTCTCCCTCTTCAGAAAGCCGTTGCCAACTGATGCACATTCCTCTTGAACAAGCTGAGGAGGGAAGTGCTCTCTGGCACTTAATACTGAAGGAACGTGGATTTTTTCAAGTTCTCTTGTTGATGCTGTTCAAACAACTGCACTGTACACATTAACCTGTAAATATTTTATCTTAATTTGTATTAATTTTGAGCCCAATTGTATTTTAATAAAATATTTTAATGTAAAATTTGTGCGTGTATTAACGTTACTAGCAGGAAAGGCAGTAACCTATTTTGGCCCATCACTTTAAACCTTGACATAGTTGAAAGAGTAAATTCAATTTATACAGGAGCAGTTTTGCACTTACTAAAGAAAAATAAACCCTTGGTGTCCACTTTTTGTTGTCCTACACCTCCCCCTCTGCAAGCTTCAAACTGCAGCTCTGTCCCTACAATTGGGACAGGTTGAGCTTGAGAATTTTTCTAGTTGGATATAGTCAAGCCTCTGTTTAAAATGCTGTTTCTGTCAGAACTGGGGATCCCTAGCTACTCTTGATTATTTATCTTTTTAAAAAAAATAGTCATTGAAGTATAGGTTTTGTTTAATAGTCCACAGAAGGCACCCTAGTAAATGTTTAAAACCAATGTAAACAAGAATCAGTTTTAACCATATAAAATTATACAAAACAGCAAAAAATCCCTCCCACTTGTGTCCCAGTAACACATAAAATTACTCAACAGCAGGAACATGTAAAACTAATGAAAAATCAAGATGTGCAAATGCACATCCTCCATCCATTTGTGATTAATTTCTAACCCTTTATAGGACTGCTCTTGCAGATATGTTACCCTTCTCAGCTGAAACACACACAACTGGACAGAGTTTCTTTTTCTTAAAGCTGAGAGTTTTTCCTGTACAGATTTGTGGCAGTTAGCTTTCTTGCATTAAAGAAGACCTACAACTGGCTTCTGTGCATTTGCTGCTTGCTCTGTTGAACCCTGGCTTGAGCTAGTTTTGTCCTTACGGTTTTAAAAATCTAGTACCTGTTTTTCTCCCCCCTCTTCACATAACTTGGCAAGGAACTGACTTAAAAAAAAAAAAGTGGAGAGGTCAAGGTAGATGCTCAGTTTTCATACAAGTTCAAAGAAACAAAGTCTATGCAGAGATCCAGATGTCTGCTGCTGGATGTCAGGTTCATTATATTCCAGCCCACCTTTCATAACAAAGTGAAATAATTGATGTTTCTCAAGCAAGAAGGAGTTAGAAACCAATGATGAGAAACAAACATCAGGATTGCCTACTAGCCAAGGCTCCAGCAGTGTATGGCTCAGTTTATGTCAGTCAGTTGCAAAGTCCAGCCCCACTGACATGGCAATTGCTTAGGAGTTAATTGAGGTAGAGCTATTGCAATTCCCTTTTCACCCAGTGCAACCCATTTCAGCAGCTCCGTGTAGCCAGCCAGCTTTACCTGAGATAGAAACATACACTATAATTAGAACAGTGCCTTTTCAAAGTGCGTATGAGTGCAAAAGTGACAAAAATAATGGTATTCCTTAGCTACTTGACTATCCAACTATCCTTAAATGCTACTTACCAACCCAATCAATGATAAAACGATTAAAGGTAGTAACCAGAAAAATACTTGCACAGTAGTGAAGCTAGTGATGTTTGGTCTTGAGAAGTACTTGGGTCTGTAAAAGGAACGTAAACACTTTCCAGAGGTGTTTGGGATGGGATTTGGGTCTAAGCAGGGATCCAGGTATCACAGTATGTAGCTTTGTAGCAACTTGTTCTGAAATGCCTGTTTCCCATGATGAAATCTGTAGGCTTGAGCAAGCAGCTTCTTACAGTGCAGCCAGCTATCTCAGAACAAAGCTGCCCTTAAGAACATCTCCACTAAGAATACAGAAATAGGCTTTATGGTGAGACACTTATGCCAGGTGGTAAAATGTAAAAAATAGCGGAGCAGCTGAAGGAGCAGGCTCTGCCCCTGGGGAACATCACTCTCTAGTGCATGTATAGTCTAAATGCCTCTACAAAATTCAAGATGCATCTACGTCATTTCTGAAATTACTCATCCTTCCTTTCCACAGAGCTGTAGTGGCACTAATTAGATTCTTTTCATGTGGAACCAGACCAGAAGCAACAATCCAGAACACATTTAACAGAGCTAATGGATATCCAATGCATGATGAGACCAGGACAGAGCCAAGCCAAAGTGAATCTCCATCTTAAATGCACAGTTGCTGAGTCCTGAGTACCAGCTGTTCTGCTCTACAAATCTGCTTCCATTGGGTTATGGTACTTGCTAGTGTATGTGTGGCATTGGTGTCCTCAATGTGACCACTGCTTGCTCTGAGACACATCTAGGGTCGCACTTATTTACTGTTTAGCATCCCTGGGCAACGGAAACCTCTGTGCACTTTCCCTTTCCCCAAGGCTTTGACTTGACACTACTGCACTTTTCCAGAAATCACAATATTGCCAAAGGCATGAGGATGGGTATTTGTAAAGAAGGGTCATGCTGAGTTGATAGTCTACACAGGAAACAGGAGGTGCACAGGGTTTTTTTTCATGCTACTTGGCCTCTTTTTCTGATCCTTAGCTTGCAAGCTAAAACTTATCCCAGCAATAATTCAGTCTAACTTTGTTGGAGAAGAAACATCCCAGTGGGAAGACTGTGTCAAGGAGGTCCCAGAATGAAAGCAAACATTTTGCTGGATCTCTTCCAACGTACTCAGTCCTAAAAGCTATGAATTCCCAAAGATGTCAGAAACTAAAATAAACGCTGATGGAACATGGAAAATCGTAGAGGTGTTTTGCTTCAGCGTACATTCATTTCTTGCACTGTGCATTAAAAGCCTCACTGTTTTAAGGGGGTAGGGGGGGAAGCAGAAGGGTGTGGAGTATGTTTCTTTTACCTGTGTTTCTCCAAGCTTAGCCTGTGGCTCACCAAGTTCCAGAGTCCCAGAGACTGGCCAGTTCAGGAAGATAGCATTAACTTTGCCTTCTTTAGGGCTGAAAGTGTACCTGGTTGGAAACAGGGAACAGAGGTGCATGTCAGTTCTTCCTTTTACATTTTCTGGAGTGATTCAGAGTGCTTTCAAGACTGGAAAAGCAGATTTGGAAAGTCAGCATTGGAACAGGCTGCCCAGGGAAGTTCTGGATGTCCCCTCCCTGGAAGTGTTCAAAGGCAGGGTGGACGGAGCTCTGAGCAACCTGGTTTAGTGGGAGGTGTCCCTGCCCATGCAGGGGTGTTGGAACTAGATGACCTTTAAGGTCCCTTCCAACCCAAACCACTCTGTAATTCTATGAATCTATTAATTACTTTTTCACATATATAACTATCTTTTCAGACAATTTATGTTCTTTAATAAAATACTGTTCCTTGAAAATATTTTCGAACAAACTAGAGGTAATTCAGACTATTAAAGAACTGAATTTAGAGGTAAACATCCGTAGTAACTTTAGCAAACATACTGCTCACTGTAGTGCTCAGCCATGTAGGAAGGAGGTACTTGCAGAGCAAGGGGAATCATTAACAGATTCTTGTGGGTTATATTCAGAAAAATATGGTCATTCACATCAATACACAAACATACAGATATTCCCCTAAAAACACATAGTAAGAGCATGTGTGACAATAAAGATTCCACCTCGCATAGCTGTTGTTTTTTTTTAAACTTAATTTCAGCAGATGTTATCTGCAGTATGTCCTTGGAAATCTTATGGCATACACCTGAAGAATGCCTCTTTCCTTCCTTCATGCAGTTATAATTTTTATTGCTCTTGGAAGTAGTTTTACTAGACAGTCAATAGTTCAGCCAAATTGTATGGGGAACAGGAGTAAAAAGGCCCACTGAGGCAGTGAAGAGGGTCAAAACAAAACCACTGATGGGTAAGTAGAGCCGCTACAGCCGCCTTACAGCAGCTATACGGTGCAGAGGAGAGCCCAGAGATGGGCTGAATTTGATGACCAAACAATTGCATTTTTACCTTAAAAAATGAGAATATGCTAGACTGATTTATAGTTTATTTCTCATTTAACAGCAACATCAAGTATTCCTTTGTACAGATACTTCATAGCAGTTTTATATTTCTGGATTTTTTTTTAGTAGTTTCTGTTTCCAGCTACACTAAGAAGCACAAGATAACTAAGGAAACAGGCAACCTTCCCTTCAGCCTTGGCATCATCCTGAAACTATATTCTTCACAGCACGCAAAGCTGGATGGCGATTCTGTAGCACCGAGTCATCAAGAATTTCAAAATTTCACATGCACCACTGCTGCTGCTTTATGCAGCCCATGCTTTGATTCAGTAGACGTACCACACTTCAGGTGTGACTGTGTCATTCTGTGCTCTCCATGGCTTCGTTCCATAGATGGCTTCCCCATTGACCTTCAGCCAGGCACCCATCTGCCTCAGGCGTTCCTCAAATATCACAGCAATGCGACCATCGTGAGTGGGCCCGATGTTCATCAAGAGATTTCCTCCACAAGACACCGTTTCTACAAGTTGCTGAAATGTTTTTAAACATATACACAGAGAATATGGTTACAACTAATTAAATCATATAGTTGAAGTTCCTTCTAAAGCCAGGCATGCTACTTCAGACTGAGGAATTGAACAAGTTTTGTTACTATTGCATGTTTAGACTTCGGGGATAACCCTCAACAGTAAATACAAAATTTAAGCTTCCATAAAACAAAGTTTTGCTGTCAATTTTTATGGATGAAAACAGCCCAAAATACATTTGTGCACCAATATGCTTGACTGAACCCCAGAGGTTTTTAGTATTTTGACTTCTGCAGGAATTTAATGAGGTTTTCTACCAACAGAATAGATAACAGACCATAGGAGAATAAAGCTAATGGATGCCAATTCACTTCTACTGAAGCTGAGAAAAGCAACTTCTTACTGTCTTTGATGCTCTCCCTATTTTACAGAGATATCTGTAAATTTCTAGAAAGAAACCCTGTATAGAGTCCATAAATATTTGTGTTCACATCCCCACTGCTCTCCTGAGATCACAGATTGAGATGCACAAGTCTGAAGAACAGACAGCTGGAGACAAGCTACTGGATTAATTAAAACTTTCTGCCTCTGCAAAGAGGTTACTTCAATTTGAAACTGCCTTTTGCAAGGACAGTACTAAGATTTGGATTAAACAACAATAATAAACAACTGTCCCCTCACTACCTGAATTTTGCAATTAAATGCATTGTACCCGAAAGACAAGTCTTCCTTTCATTCAGTTTGCCTGTGCTTCAAATCTTTAATACCTTAGACTAGCAAAGGGAATCAATGTTCTATTAACATTGTTCACCTGCATCTGCAAGTGTTTATGTCTGTAATGCCTGTGCTGGTTTTTTTCCTTAAAAGAAATGGGATGAAAGGAAAGTTTCTTGCTACAAAGCAAAAAGTCTATTAAGAGTTATAAACTGTTTCTAGATAGAAAGGGGAAAAGATGTAGCCTTCAATCAGTTCCTAAACAGGAACTGTGAAACTGCTCCTGTTTGCTGCTCATCAACTTAGAAGTGAAGTTACAAGAAAAATTTGGTGGAAAAGGTAATTATGAGTCTATCCAGATCAGTCTTCTACGAAACTGATGGAATTTTTTCTAGATAGTTTTTCTCTTAGTATTTTCTATAAAATGGACAAGAACTATTCCATCCTGTGAGTGTGAGGCACCAAATTAACAAAATTATTTATCATTTCATTGATTCCTTTCTTCTTTATTAAAATAATATTTTTTCTACAAATAGATACAGTTTGGAAATGTTATATAGTGTAATAATCTGCGGAAGAATCAGAGGCTGCAGGCAACTCCTTTCTCCCACTGTACCTTCACCAAGTCCTGGATAGTCAGGTAGTCATCAAGCTGTGCGTCCCTCCTGTAGCCCCACGAGCCCCTGTCAATAGTCATACAGTTCTCCCACTTGTGAGGCAGGAGGTGTCCAGGGTTATACCGGTCACTACAGGTGTAGAAGCCACCATGTGTACAGATGCTGCCAACTCCCCAGCGGTCATTGGTCACAACTGTGTCCCGGACTGGACTGCAAACAGAGAAATGTTGTGATTTGCATTCTATAATACACTGTTACAGCCAGTCACCCTGCCCCTGCACACCCAGAAACTAACATTTAAGACAACTTCTGTACTATTAATTTACTATGATCAGATGAAGCGCAATTTCAGGAATCCTATTCTCATCCTTTGCTATTGAAAGGTCCAGATTGGCATTTCTTAGGGAAATCTGCTCCAGACTTTGACAGGAGGTCTGCCAGAAATCACCCTGCACTTCCTATCTCAGTCTGTGATGACCACAACGTATCCAGCTTCTCAAATTATCCTGCTATCCCTTTGTCTGCACAGTAGATGATACTTAAGGAATAACAAGATTAGGTAGATGAGTCAATACCATCTTAACTGATTAATTTGCAAATGTGGCTAAAAAATATGAAACAGTAATTTTCTAACGCAAGCTTTGATAGTCCTACGGAAGACCTGGATTTTGAAGTTCAGGAAAATTAATATTTAGCTACATCCTTGTAAGCAGAGGTTACAGGTTCCAAAAATTATACAGAAAATAAGACAAAATAGACACAGAGCAGAATTTCAGATAAGGAGTGAAACCAACATAATTATGTACCTGTCATTATACAGCCAAGCCAAGAAACCAGTGCTGTTCCAGTAAGTATCTGGTGCATTTCCATTCCCATCAGACCAAATTATTTCTGGTTGGTATTTCATGACAATTTCATAGAGCTCTGGTAATGATTTACTGGTTGGAAACTTTCTTGTCTTGAAGACATTGGTGGCATCCTCAAGGAAGAGAGGATTAAACCATTCAAACAGGGAATGATATAACCCAAAACGCAAGTCAGTCCTGTTTCTAACAGATACAGCCAGTTCAGCCACAAGATCTCGTTTCGGTCCCACATCAACAGCATTCCAGTTCCAAGAATATTTGGACCCCCACAAAGTAAAGCCTGAAAAGAAAAAACCTGAAGGATAAGAAGGGGAAGCAGAACTACCCTCTTTCTGGCAAATACTCTGTTGCAAAAAAAATAAAGTACTAAAAATCATGTATGTAATAAAACTGTCTAAAGCATGCCTGCCAAATACTTTGCAAGTGTGTTGCAAAAAAATAAAGTACTAAAAATCATATATGTAATAAAACTGTCTAAAGCATGCCTGCAATCTGTTTATGCACGATGACAGCAGGCACAACACCAGATACATTTATGTATACATACACATATGCATTTATATTTTCCAGTTCTGCATTGCTCAGGCTAATTACTCCTCCCTCCTTAAGTGTTCATTCCACTCAGATGTCCCACTTAAATTAACCAAAAATATCGCAACTTTGTAGGCATCTGCATTTTCACTGAATGTATCAAATGTGAACTCTGAAGACACATTCAACAACCGGAAGATAAAATGTTTTCTTGGTTGCAGAATGCACAAGTTATAGTTTACATTCAAAGACTTCCTCTTTCTGTTTACATCTTATGCAAATGTTCACTTTTCATTTATCTTGACATTTTTAACAGCTCAGTGCATGTATATAAGCAGAGTACAGAAACTCCTGAAACAGCTTTTAAAATATCAGTGTTAAATATCAGTTTAAATGTTAAATGATGTTTCAGACACCCAGCAATCCAGCACAAGTGCTTCCAAGCCCTGCTGCACTGCAGACTTAGACCATGGCCAAAGGAGCTCCATTCTCACCTTCCAACTGCTTTATACTCATTGCCTAATAAATCTTGCAAAGTTTTCATTAACTGGATACATGCAATTGTATCATCTAGACAAACAAGATAAAAATTCATGCCCAAGGCTACAGGACAGATTAAATGAATCATGGTTCCTTTGAAGTCACTGGCAATGACAGCATGGGCATTGTCAAATTCAAGATTTTATCTGTGTCAGAGCCGAGATTAAAATTCACAAGTTACTAGTCGTGAACCTTCATCTCCACAAAGACAAACAACATTCACTAGATGTACTGTCATACTCCATCTTAGTATTTATACTTTCATATTTCCTTCCAACCACTGTATTTTTCTTTACTTTTCTCTGCAAAGCATGTTACACCTACAGTGCCCAAAACCAAATGTGCTTGTAAAGCTATAGGCCTGGTTCAAGGTTTTGGCTTCTGTGCACTGCATTAGGAAGTACACCCTGTGTACGTTTCTAATTCTGAAGTTGACTCCTGGAACATATTCCTAAATGCCTTGGAGAAATTCACAGAGCTTATAAACTGCCTATACACAGCAGCTCTCCATATGTTCAACAGGGCAGAATTCATTTTTGTAGTTTCTTAAGCAATAAATTGCACAATAAAATTAAACCATGACTACTTCAGGAAGCACAGCTGCCTGCACGGCTTCAGACTGTCTTACCTACAGCAAAAGAACAATGGCACAATCTATTTTTCCTCCTACACACATTCCATGGACACAGCTTTTGTGTAAGAGACAGCAAAATGCACACATTCCTGGAGTCGTTTGTTCCCTCTTTGGCTGGGCTGGAACAGGTAAGGCTGCCTGGCTTTCTCTATCTCTCTTAGCAGGCTGGAAGGTCACCTGGATTTTTCTTCTGTTGACAGAAATACAACAATTACTAACATTCACAAACCTTCCACTTACCTTCATGATGCTTTGAAGTTAAGACAACATATTTTGCACCTGAAGCCTTCAGAATATCTGCCCACTGGTTGGGATCAAAGAATTCTGCTGTAAACAGTGACCCAAAATCCTCATAACTGAACCCAGGTGGGTAATTGGCCTCCATAAATTTCACATAGGGCTCTCTCTTTTCCTTCTGCCAGTACCACCTAAAAACATAGACAAAAACATGGTTTAGGCAAAGAAAAGAGAATTAAAATTATCAACTTGTATTTGCATTCTCACTGAGAGGCACATGCACTGGGGGTACCAGACAAAATAAGACAAAATTGCTCCAGAACAGTATTGTTTATCAAATGTTTCCTTTTCTCTGTCCTCTTTTCCCATGCTCTACATTTTTCAAACACTCCACTTTGGAAAGGTCCTCGGATTTCATAAGGAGAAATGAAAGCAGCTACACTTTCAGAATAGAAAAATGGCAGTCTTGTTCAGTATCCAAATCCCAAAACCATACTAGAGAGCACAGGTTCAGTCCATGTAAGCAGCTCAGATGGCACAAGGAATGCACTTTTTCTGGACTAACATGACTCACCCTCAAGTCTCACACATCAGCTACCTGGCACCTCTGCTCTGCCCCTTACACTGCAGCTCCTGCAACCCACAAACATGCAGACCAGCAGCTTTACCCCTGTGCTGGTCCAGAGTCCTCTATGCCAAATGCAGCTGAGTGACCTGATGCGTGAGCAGATGCCCATGGCCCCAGAGCACATGAGGCTCTGAAGCAAAGGCACCCTACTAGGAGGAATGTCCTCCAACAACAACCTGTCTCTGCAAGAACCCCACACACTTTCAAATTCACCTCCATCACATCATGCCTCCAGCATGCAGGCACACATCTATCTCATGCCACTGCACCAGTGCACAGAAATTTAGGTACTAGTAGGAAAACTAAGCTGATGATCACTTTTTGCATGTCACCTGGCAAAGACAGGGACAGTTTCTATCCTGTGCTTCCCCATGACAGGGACCAGTATTGTCACTATTCCAACTGGTCTAGTCCACAACAAGGGTTGGAGACCCACTCTGTGGTCTAAGGGTGGTCTCTCACCCTCATCATGGGCAGAGATCATAAATCACCAAGAGAGCACTGTTATTTTCAACCTGCTTCAACCCTTCCTACCCTCACAATGAAAGAGGAGCTCCAGAAACAGCTTTTACAGCCTGAACAGCCTTATTGCTGGAGACCTTCGAACAACAACATACATTGTGACTGTCAATAGTTACAGAAAAGGATCTGAAAGCATTCACTCTTCTTTGAATGAAGACAAGCAGCAAAAACCCTACTGACACATCTAGACACAAATGAAAATAAATTGAAAAAAAAAAATAGGCCCGAATCCGAATGTTTGAAATGTATTTAAGATCACAATAACCAGTGGGTATTGTAACCCTCCTGAACACACTTTATATTAAAAAAACTCACAATTTCTGGCAGCCAACAGGGGAAAAAAAAACCCAACAAACTAGAAAAAAAGACCCTGAGACAGCCTTCTTCAGTGAAAGAACCTGGAAAAACCTCAACAACTCTGATTTTAAAGTTTGCAATTGTATAAGAAACAGGTAACGTCCCTGCTTCTCTCTCTTTGACACATAGTTTGGTAACGTGAGCACTTCTACTCTGACATGACTAGAGTCTAGAAACCTGTTGACCAAGGCTGTGTAGCTCCAAGGGAAGGACAACAAGCTGGATGATATCAGAGTTTATGACCTTCCATTTGAAGCTGCTAACACAGGACCTCAATCATCTGACTGCACATGCTGCCAGAAGGCCCTGGAGAGCAGCTTCAAATCCACATGTGCCGAAGGACAGGGGGTTACAGAAATATAAAAAACGTCATCAATTACATTAGAATGTTTAGAGGTCTTCTTATAACAACAAGAATCAAATGCATGATCCTGAATCACAGTGTGCACTACTATCAGAGCACAGCACTTAGAGTAAGGCTTGAAGCCAAAGCCAGTTTCTCCCTCCCCAGGAAGGTTATTAGTAAAGGGAGCCCACATTAAAAAACTGCTGAAACCATTGAACATAAACCTGAAATTAACAGAGCAACTATTGTGAGAACACAGAGGTTTGTTTGTATCTATGTTGGTTTGGTTTACAAATATTGCATTTAGGGTTTACCATAGCTCTGCCACAAAGCTGCTGTTATCTTCATATTATAAATGATAATGAAACTCGCTTGAAGTCATACAAGAAGAATTTGTTAGAGCATGGAACAAAGACAGCAAAAAAATGCTTACAGCCAGTGAACATAAACCAAAGCCTTTATTCTGCCTTTGAATTAGAATTATTTGAAGGATCAGATCAAAGAAAGCTTACTGAAGGAAAAAAAAATCAGTAAAGAGAAAAATTGGCTTTATCCTGGCTCAAACCAGGGGATCAGAACTTGAAGTTCCTTTTAACGGAAAGTACTAGTTAATAAAAGTAATAGTGAAAAAGAAAACAAGAAACAGCATAAAATGTGCACAAGAAACCTGCAGGCAGTTTGCCAGGCAAGGGCAACGATGCAGGGACTGATGGACTCCTGTGCTGCCCACTGACAGAGCACAGAGCTCCATGAGCTGTGCAGGGCTCCCCTGGAGTCCGGCTGAGCCCCAGGCCTGGCCTGGGGAGGGATCCTCCATCCATCCCTCTCCCCGTGAGCCCTGCTGCAGAGCCCTTCCCCTGCCGCTCTGCCCCTCCCAGCAGTGCTGAGGAAAGCACATCCTGCAGCTCGACAAGCTCTTCGGTTACCTCGGGTAACATCAGCCAACACATCCCAGAGCTCCAGGGCCGGGCGGACAGCTGGGAAAACACACCAGGAGCACATCAACCTCTGCTCCCTTCGGGAACGGCACCACAGGGTGCCCGGCCTCACCGACCGGCCTGGGGCAGCCCCGGGGCCGAGCGGCCGCCCCGGCCCCGCAGGGACACGCACCGCGCCGAGCCCGCCCCGCAAACCCAGCCGGAGGA